TCTATGCCCTAGCAAACTCTGTCAAGTTTCGATTGGACCTCCTCCCCGATGCCTCTATCTGGCTAACAGCATTGGATCGAATGCTTTAAAATCAGAGCAGGCGACATGTAATGGGATTCATATGATATGGCTCTTTCTGGTGATGCGACAGCGATTGCGGACTGTCCAATTTGAAATGAGCTCGGTGTACTTCACTCGAAGGATGGTCCTCAGGTTGAGAACCTATCGTTTTTTGTGCATCTTCCGCGTTCACTGTCCAGCAGCCGTTACCGTATGGGAGAACTGATCGGACAGGCATCCGTCAAACGCTGGTCTTTGTGACAATTGAGAGATCGTATCAAGTCTACAGACACTTTCTAAGGATTGTGAAAACCTCGCTTACAGCTTCGATTCGCCGGACGATACCGTCCTTACGTTGTCCACACAGCGGCAGCCTCCTCTAACTATTTGGAAGTGTTAAATTTTTCTAATTGACAGTCATTGATCCCGAAGGGTGCCTCCTCCTACTTAGGAGCGTTCACGCGTCAATAATCTGTGAAAAAAGTCGTACAATTGACAGAACGACAACGTCAGCATAGTCAACACCTGGATGCCAACCCAGCACCTTCAAAGCCCCGTAGGACCCTTCCAAGAATTCAGTTGATGGTGTAATCGAGCAGAATGGGCAATAAGTTGCAACTTTTCCAAGTGTCAGCTCGAACTTCTGATGGTTGAGGGAGATTGTTTTAGTCCAGAAATTACACAATGATTGGGGCGGGAGCTCATAATCATTACAATAATTTCTGTTCAAATACCATGTAATTATACCATACGTCATTGTCTTATCCTCGAGCCTGAAAATGCCAACAGCACCGAGAATACTTCATTTTTTGAAAATAGGCACAAAGATGGCCGAGTTATAGTCATCAGGAAAGACCTCATCTTCCCGTTATAGCTCGATCATTACATGAATTTGATGCACTAATGTTAACGCAAGACTTGCAAAGAGATACCGTCCTCTCCCTCTGTGGGGTCGCGTGACATTGTGTAGGCTGAGGAGGAACAAAGCGCTGTGGCAGATGTTATCGAAGAACTTGAGGTGCTCGGAGTGCTCATG